ATTTTTGTGCTAAAAATAATCAAAATCAAGCATTTCTCGGCAGTTTACAGAAGGATTTTGTTCAAACTTGGTATATACATTAGACATTATGGGACCTTGATGCAAATAATTTTGTTTTTCAGATAAGATTCAAAATAGCCGACTGGTGGACATTTTGTATTAATGAATGGTTCTCGTGCCATATCTCTGACTTGCTTTCACTGATTATGTTCAAATTTTAAATATTCATTATACACCATGTCATAGATAAACAGATATATTTATTTTAGGTAGGGTGGGATTTATTTTCTCATTTATTTTCCCCCCAACAATGTTGAACATGTTCAGTCTACATCTCATAAAATCACATGGATACATTTTAAACAACTATTTTTTCAGGCATGATGGAATTAAGTATCCACATTTGTTAATTTTAGACGATAATTTGAAGAGAATTATGCACACAATAGCTGTAGCTGTTAAATGTGACAAAAATTAACTCATTTACATAAAAAATAAAATTTTCGCAGCCAATTTGCTAAAAATAAACTTACTGATTTTACCAAACATTTGGTTAGGTAGGGCTACTGGAAACACATTTTTTTTTTCATCAGCCTTAGATCTAGAAAAAGGTGTTTAGTTTGCTTTTCGAAAATCGATGAGGGATGCAGCTTTTTATTGTAAAATTGTCATTGTTTTTTTTAGCTAATGAAATTTTTCCCCCCAAAAATCTGATTGTACACTTCGTATACACGATGTGCGTGATGTGATGATCAGAAACTTTTTTGTTACCTTAGTTCTTGGGAAAAATCTGAGAGTTAAATATGCAAATTTATTTGATTTGAATAAAGTTAGCCTAAGCAAGGCTCTCATGAACTACTGAAAGGATTTTGTTGAAACTTGGTGGAAATTTATATATTTGGGGCTATATCCTAGGACCTGGTTTAATTTTTTGCCAAAATAGCTCTTTGATTATGCAAATTTGCTGATTCAAAATGATGAATTTAGCTTAAAGGTGCTAAAACATGAACACTTATTTTGATAATGTGCATATGCAAATTAGGTGGTTTGCATGCTCTGGGGATATATCGTGTTCTGCTGAACAGAACTCATTCAAACTTTGTGAAAATACATACACGTCTATACCTAATACAAGACAAACAGGAATGTTTATTATTAGAGGTTTATTCAACATCATGGGTCATTTTCATTTACATGTACTCAGCAGAGATCAAGGTGTTATTCCTGCAGTAAAAGCTGTCGAAGGCAGTCTGAGCTGTTGATTGTTTTCAACCAAACCTTTCCAGAAATATGGATGTCTAGGTAAAATACACTTTACTGGGTCACAATGCAGTAATACTAATTTCACTCACTCAGTCGCGTTGGAATCCACTTTTGATCCTTATCGTACAGTAGCATTCAAATCTTTCCTTGTGTGATAGTACAATATGGAGCTATGAATTGATTGGCGAGAACTCAGTTGGATAAAAACATAAATCCCATGTGTGGATAAATCGCCGCTCTAAACTGCGGTAGAATGAGATTTCCCGGCGCTCATGCCTTTTAAAAATGAATAGCGCCATCAGTGTTCAATAATTCCAAAATGGCGGTCATGCCATGTTATAGTTACTCGTATTTATTGAGCTGCAAACTAAATATTCTCGAGAAATTTATTTCTATGACGTGTCGATTTTCGATGTCGTTAAAAAATTTGATTTAGTTTTATTTTGTTTCGTTTTGTGCAAAAGACTAAGCCGTATCACTAATATTTATTTTTATTGAAATAATGACCACAATGAATAAGTTTATTTTTTTGTCTTAATATACTTAATAAAGTGTATTTATCATGTCAGTATGTTTTCTGTGTGTTGTTTACAAAGAGTGTGTAGAGAAATGGTGTTTGGTGGCCATTTTGAATTTCTAATGAAGTCATTAGCGACATCTTAAATCAGCCAATTAGCTCTCTTGCTAAATTCGCTAAAAAGACATGCTCACAAAAAACAAATGTTTTACAGTATTCATTGACCCCCAATGTTGAATACATCTTTTCACAAACAAAAATCCAAATTATAGAGCTGCTATGACGAAACTCAAAATAAGTGCTCATACCCTTCAAATCGAAAGAGGTGGGTATAATAACCTCATACATGACGTGATGTTGTAGCCCAGCTTGTAACTAACAGGAAATTGAAAAAGAAAAACAATTTCTTCTTAATTGAGGAGGAATGAGAAATCACAATAAAAAAATTAACTACAATAAAACCAACTCCATGCAGATGATGAACACCTAACAGATATACTAAAAAGTTAAAATGACAAAACAATCATTGAGCAAGGAAAATTTATCCAAACTTGTTTCAAATTCTGACAAGTAAAATACTTCAAGCTGGAGGGTAGTCACCTGCGCACGCGCGGGAATCGAGTCTCAAGCGACAATAACAACACACGCTAAAAACGCAAAGGCTCATGTGTAAGCGCTTATTTGTAAACAATGATACGTTATGGCCATCTGACGCATGCACAGGTGACGACTCCCTCGCTTTAAAATGCTCAGATGCCTCAAACAACAAACACATAATTTAATTGGCTTGTTTTTGTTACTTTATGCATCTCCAACCAAAATCCCATACTAGGATATGGTTTCA